GGCACTTGGTTCCAGACCAGTCTAGACTTGTTCCTTCTGAAACAGAGAACGGGCCTGGATTTCTGGTTTTACCAAGGCCTCCATGTACTTCTGATGCAGGCTCAAGTCTGGGAACTGCTGTGGTTTTGAGGTTCTCCAGAACTAACACATTGGAAACGTTATCCTCAGAGAAACTGTGTAAAGAGACAGGGCATTTGTGAGGCAATAAGACATGAAGGCCTCTGCTGTCACTCCAGGACTGAGGTTCCTATAGAAGGAGAAAAGGACAGACAGACACCATCCCTCACCACAGAATCTACCTTGGACATCTCAACTTGTAGAAGTCTGAGGAAACAAATTTCTGTTGTTTATAAACTCTTTAGTTTTCAGTGTTTCCTCACAGAAACAGAACAGATATGAGAACTGAAATGCCCTGAGTTTAAATGTTGACTCACCTGTTACTTTCCCAAGTTTCTGTTTTCATTTTTGTTTATTTTTATGTAGTTGGACCGATTACTTCTACATATATTTCTATTATTGTTGCAAGGCATGCGCTGATACCAAGAACAGACTGTATTATTCAATCTTCACAATAATTCCTTAATTCCAACAAAAAGCCGATGATAAAAGACATTAATTTGTGCAAGGTCCCTTAGCCAATAAAGAGTACAATATGGAGCTGGCCTACCTCCAAAGTTCCCAAAGTTAATGACTATCCTATATGCTCCCTAGGAAGCTGCTACTCCTGTGGTTCAATTGTCATTTGTGCACTACACTGCTCCTGGTCCTCTCCAACTCTGAAGAACTCTGAACTACCTACCTAGTGGATCTGTCTACTGAAACTCCCCATAGCTCCTGAAGATTAACAGAGCAGCATTGTCTCTTCACACTTAAACCATCCCTCCTTTACTTCCTAATTTAACAGCATCATAATCACCCACTTGGTCACAGTAAGCATGTCATCTTGAACTTTTCTCCCTCCCATTATATGTGTTCTTAAATTTTTAAACTTTTAACAACTAAAACGTTTCTGAACTCTAAACCATGGCACTTTCCTACCCTGAGATAACCAGCACATCCCTGCCTCTCCATACTAGAGCACCCTATGTGGGACTGTCCATTACCTCCTGACGATGTGTTTGCTCTACATCCCTGCCTCTCCATACTAGAGCACCCTATATGGGACTGTCCATTACCTCCTGACGATGTGTTTGCTCTACATCCCTGCCTCTCCATACTAGAGCACCCTATGTGGGACTGTCCATTACCTCCTGACGATGTGTTTGCTCTACTTTTTAGGATAGAGGGGCCAGGAGGAGTGACACACCGCTTTATTCAAGAGGCACCGGCAGGTGGATCTCTGTGAGTTTAAGGCCAGCCTTGTCTACATAATGAGTTCTTAGACAACCAGGGCTATCTCTCTCTCTCTCTCTCTCACACACACACACATACACACACATAGAATGAAAAAGCCCTTATAATTTGTCTGTAATGTAACTATCCTATCTCTACTGCCACACATTAAGCTGGTAAGGAACAACTCAAGACGTTTCCAAAAGGACCATCCAATTTTAACGTTCATCAACGTTTCTTAGACTGTCTACCTAGAAAGTTTCCTTCCTCCTCATACACAGCAAAAACCTATTTAACCCTTAGGCCTAACGTCTATCCCCTTCTCTCCTCATCTTTCAACATCAATGTTTTCTCAGATATGGTTAATTCCTCTGGCACTTTATTAATTCTCAAAGTGATTAACTTATCACAACATATAACAGTCTATTGTCTCTGATGAACACTGTATGCCAAATGTATTACAGCATCTCATTCATCTATGTCCTCTCAGCACCTGACAGAAGAGCTAGTTATAGCTAGCACCTCATAAATATTTGCTGAGTGGCTGAATAATGCAACGTTTGCCGAGTAACGCTACACATCTCACTTAGCAACTCAACCCCAGGCTTACAGAGCACTCTAAGAATTTTGTCTTTTCGTGGGGAGGGAGGACAAGAATGAGAGAGAATCTCACAGAGCCCTGGCTAGCTTCAAAACCACTGTTGCAGAGGACGTTGTTGAATCCCTGAGCCTCTTGCCTTTACTTTCCAAGTGCTGAGATTACAAGTATGTGTCACTACAAATAGTTCAAGAACTTTCTAATAACAAAACTTTTATTACAGATAATCTAATACTCTCCCTCAATGTGTAATTACTGTCAGATCTTTCTGTCAACAGTTCTCGGTCTCTCTCTTCAGACAGCCTCCCTTTCTAGTTAACATTATTTGTATTTTTGTCACAGGATCAGCAGTTACTGCTCAGCAGGGCACTGAGGGAGATCATCTCAATGGAAACTGTGTCACCAAGTACGGTCAGATGACGACTTTGGTTTCATCATTTCTGTAAAGATCCAGAACAGCAGCCAAAAGCCATTAGGTAGATTTTGGGGGTTGAGCCATGCAGTACGGACAACCTAGGACAAATGCACAGGACTTAAGTATTTATTTCAATTACTAAATGAAATTGAAGGACATAGCAATCTGATCCTGGCTCAACTAGATATCCCTTAAGTAAGAATAACATTTATTTTTAGGCATGCAACGGTGGCACATATCTGTCTGTATTCCCGGTAACCTGGAAGCAGAGTCAGGAGGATCATACTAAGTACTAAGTCTGAGGCCAACATGCTCTACACAAGTTCTAGGCCAGCTAGGGATAAATATATATATATGGTAAGACCCTATCTCAAGAAGCAAAGAAGTAGATTTCGCAGGGCAGTGGTGGCGCACGACTTTAATCCCAGCACTGGGAGGCAGAGGCAGGCAGAAGTCTGTGAGTTCGCGGCCAGCCTGGTCTACAAGAACTAGTGCCAGGACAGGTTCTAAAAGCTACCGGAGAAACCTTGTCTCGAAAAACCGAAAGAAAGAAAGAAAGAAAGAAAGAAAGAAAGAAAGAAAGAAAGAAAGAAAGAAAGAAAGAAGATTTTTCTTTTTTAAAGAATAACACTTGAAACTTACTGCTGCCTTAGACTTTATTCTGATGAATAAAGTCTCATCCCCCACGCAAACAGACTCTGCTCTAGTTTGATTTTCTGTTGCTATGATAAAACATTAAACAAACCCAACTTGGGGGAGGGTTTATTTTTACAGGTTAATTGCCCATCATCAAGAAAAGCCAAGGCTGGAACCTGAAGGCAAGAGCCAGGTGCTGCTTACTGGCTTGCCTTCCCTTCAACCCAGGACCACCTGCCAAGGGGTGACTCTGCAGGGGTTGGGGAGGTACTCCTACACCAACTATCACTTCAGAAATGCCCCCCACAGAAGGTACACAGGCCAATCTGAAGGAAGCAATTCCTCAATAGAGGTTCTCTCTTCCCAGGGATTCTAGTTTGTGCCAAGCTAACAAAAACTAGCCAGAGGCTCCACCCTATTATTAATAGACGTCTGTAACTCCTTGCCTCCCTGCTCATTTTCTCCACTGTTTCAGTGGAGAACTTTCTCTGCTCCAGTCAAGCAGGACTCCTCAAAACATCTCTCCACCACCCAAGGAACAAATTCACACGAAAGTTTCACAACAGGTTTTTTAATCCTTTCCTAATTCCAATGTTACACTTCTTCCAAAGGCCAGTCCTGATTTTGCCTGCCAGAGTTCCCTAGCTGACCTCCTCTGGCCCAGATTTCTCCGGTACTGATCAAGTACTGATAACACGTTCATGCACAGGCTGATGCTCTAGCTAGTTTGTGTCTACACTGTAACATGCCGTTTTCTAGGAGACACAGGCAGAAATAGAAAACGGATGACACTAGTCCTAAAAGTTTGTAAAAGAGCAGTGGATCCTGGGTATTCGCCTTTACAGAGCAAGCTTTACGACTCCAAGACGCGAGAACTTCAGATGCCATACTTGGCAGTGCCTTGGTTTAAAAGAAACTGAACCTCTGCATTGTGGACCTGGGTGGAAACTGAAGCTGTGTCACTCGATTTTTATGCATAAATCATGATCAAATATCAGTGCTCCCTATCTTGTCACTGGTTCTAAGCATCACCTTTAACAGGTAACAGGAGAAAACAATTTCTTCGGTTTGTCTCCATTACTCCTCCTTCCCCAAGAATGGTTGGGATAACCACCACACATCCAACCCACTGCAGTCCAGAGCTCTACGACAGGACCAACGGACGGCTAGCAGCATCTTTTCCTCCAGCTCCACCATTCCAGCCCACACATGGAATGTGATCTATATTTTCATACGATAAATAACAGCCTGCAATGCACCTAGGGAAAACAAACACAAAAGGCAGGGCTGCCCTACCCTCGAGGCCCCCGAAATGGCCCAAAGCACAGCACAGTTCTTGGAAATAAGCAGTTTTGAGTCTATCAGGAAGTAACAATACTTGATGGGTATGGTCCTCTGGCTTCAAAATGTGTACCAACACCGGATAAAAATGTCAGAAAAGCACGTGGGCATACACGTGAGGCCGGAAGGTCCAGGCAACAGGTTGGCCGCCCAGCATCTACACTGACAGGTCGCCTTCCCCAAGTTGTGGGTGTGCCCGAATCTCGCGTAGGCAGAGGCTCATAACTCTCTCCGTAACTACACGCTCCTATTCCGAGATCCACCAGGCTAGAACAGACGAAGCCCTTCGAGGCTAACCCAAAACTTTGGGAACCCCCAAACGTGGGTCCCGTTTCCGCGTGTGTCAAGCTCGCACACTCGCATCTCTAGTTCTGGCGCGGAGGCTGCTGAGGAACGCGGGCTTCTCCCGCTTCGAATTCCTCAGTGGAAGGGAAACTGGCAGCGTCATCCCGGGATATAATCCCTTGTCCCTCCGCAACCTTCTCCAGCGCGCCCCCAGAGCGCCAGGCCCGTGAACTGACCCTCGTCAGCCCCCGTCCCCGCCCCCGGAACCAGCGGCCGAGGGGCGTGGAGCGGCGCGCGCGGGTACGGCGGGGGGCGCGCGTCTCCGCGCCCCGGGCCCGCGCAGCAGGTGCGGCCAGCAGGCCCCACCTTCCCCGAGCGGTCCCGGCGACTCACCCCGACGATGTTCCTCAGCGACCTAGCCGCCGCCACACACGTCTCCTCCGCCTGCAGCGACCCTGCCCCGTGGCCACCGCCCCCTAGACCGCCGCGGTCGCCGCCTTCCCCGCCGCCGCCGTCACGGCGCGCGCCCGCCTTCACGCACAACGCCGTGGCCGCGCACGCGCCTTGCGCGCTGGCGTCACTTAGCAACGGATCAACCGTGGGCCGGTAGGACCCAGGATTTCGGGGCCCCAGGTCGCCTCAGGCGGGGTCTTGCGGCGCGTCTCCGCCCGTCGGAGCCACTGTCCCTCCTAAACTGGGACCTCAGGGTGTGGCTCCCCTGCCGGCACCTGGCTCGGGGTAAGTCACGTCATCGTACGTCACTGAATAGCGTCATCGGTCACGTCACTGCGTATGGGGACGAGCCGGAGCGCCTATAAGAGCCAGCCTTAACCTTCCTCAGTCGCCTACCAGAGGGATGATCTGCCGGGTGCGAGGAAGTTCTACAAGGAGAAAGAATGAGCCAAGTGAGCCTTTAACAGCATTAAGGTGCGGTGAAGGCCAGGCCTGAGATCCTGTGATTCAGTTTCCTCGTTCTGTAAGTGTGAAAAATGCCACCTGACCTGCCGGTACTGGAAAGGTGTGAATTTAAGACGAGATAATATGTGCGATGCTGCCAGAGAACCCGGTCTTAATTCGAACTTTTAATTTCAAGACCCTGGCGGAAGCCCATCCATAACTGCTCCTCATTCCACCTCCCAGGACTACCAGATGTGTAGAACCCATTAGACTTCATCTTTCGCATAAGAAGAGACGGTAGAGCAAGGACAGCAGGAACTGCGGACTTCGAAGTCACAGACTAGAGAGTCGTCTCCCTTGAAAGTTAGGTTCTTATCTGGGTCCGAGGATTTGAAGATGAAAGATAATTCCAAGCAGAGACGTCTTAAATAGGAAGTGGAAATGAACAGAAACAGCTTGGGCCGGACCAGGGACTCCCATTTAGAGGCCATTGTAGCATCCTAGAGAAGTGCTCAGAACCGCCAAGGCATTGGGAGTGGGACTGTAAACATGGAGGCCAGCGCCAGGGTTCTAATGCGGGTGCTGAGATAGGTGGGCAGAACATTTGGCAAGATGGAAAGAAAGATGCCTTTGTGTCTGCAGGTGCGTGAGTTACTGAGCTGTAATAAGGTTCCTGACCGATGACTGTGGTAGACCGACGAGTTGGAATGCGAATGAATACGCTGGTTGGGGAAACACACTCCTCTCAAATCTTATGTGCAATGATACCCATTAATTGAATACTTCTGGCATTTGCTACACATGTCCCTAATTGACTTTTCCTTGGAGAATTGACTTCTCGATTGGTGAATTTAAAAGAACAAACTGTACATGGGGAGTCTTTAAGAAACTCTTGGGTTGTGGTAGATTGAAGGTGCCTAATGCAAGGATACAAAGCAAACCCTAGAGATTAATATTAGGAAACTGCCCACAGGTGATACCCAATTCCAGCTTTGTTAATTGTGTTTTACAGAATAACATTCCCCACACTGGCACACACACCCATCTTCATAATCTACTGTGACAGAAGGGAGTTTGCAGATATGGTTCAGTTGAGGACATGAGACGCTCCAGATTGCCCCACTGGGCTTGGGACAAGAACATCAGAGTGGGGAAGGGGCATATGAGAGAAGCAGAGGTCACAGAGATTTGAAGATACCACCCAGTTAGCCTTGAAAATGGATCAAAAGAGGGCAGGAAGCTAGTGGATCAAAATAACCATAAGAAACTAGCACCATCAACAATAAAGACGACGGTTTCCTGGTACATTCTCCTTTCTCTAGGGAAAAAAAAAATCACAGTTTATCAGGTTGCTTCACAGACTCAGCACTGTGACTATGGACCCCCCACATTTAAAGGAAAATGTCCAAGCCAAATTGCACAGGTCTGTGACAGCTGAGAGAAGTTGAAGTTTGGAGGAGGTTAAGCCCTACGCATGTATGAGATCAATCAAGGCAAAAATACAACGTCAACTTTTATGTTAGATTGAGTTGCTTATAGCAGCACCCTTAAAAACCTACTAAGGCCATTTCACCAAACACTCGGGGTTAGTGTAGGCTGTGCTACTTCTACCGAGACAGCTATGGCTATCACTCAGTTACAAAAGCTATTCAGTTTGGAGGAGAGGTAAACACGTGGGTAGTTAGCTAGATGCCATAATGGGTGTTAGTTTGTTTGGGGTCTTTTGTTAAGGTGTGCACATACTATAGCAGACTAATGAAAACTGAAACAGTTAATAGACCAAAGTTTAGACCATGACAAACAGTCCCTTTCTAGGAAGCCTTCTATCAGAGTCCTAAATGGATTAAATGCTCTTTCTCCACACTGCTAACATAATACCCACCACTGTAGTTACTGTAACAATGACGCTCCCTACGTGCCAGGCATCCCGTTCCTGCACCTGTGCTCCTGTTTCAGCGTTACAGGCAGCACTAGCTCATTCAAGTCTTGTCGGAGCCTGATGATGTAAGCAATACTATTAATTACAATACTTACAGATCAGAAAGTTTAATTACTCAAGCTCACAAAAATAATAAGTGATAAGAGCCAGGAAGCCCAATGCTAGAACCCATGTACTGTAAGCATTCCTACCACGTACTCCCTGTTGACACAGAGGGGTGTTAGAAAACAGGGCGTACACAGCTCAGCACCAGAGACTCTTCTGCCCAGATTGTAAATCACAAATCCTTGGGCCACTCTGGGTAACTGATGTGTCTCTCTTTATTGGCAATACCAATTATATAACTGAATTGTGTAACCGTGTTTCCTAGTTCATGTCCCTGCCCCAAAGCCCTGAGTAAATTCACTCAGCATTTGTGACTGAGTGGATTGACGTGTATATCTCTTTCCACTGGTGTGGTGGTTTTTCATCGTCACCTTAATAAAACATCTGAGATAACCGTGTGTGTTGCAGCTCACGGTTGTAGAGGCTTCAGTCTGGTATCCATTTGACTTTAGACCCGTGGAGTGACAGCGTGTATGTGGGAGCACAACCACTCACCTCCTGGCCAGGAAGCAAAAAGAAAACAAAAAGGCCAGGATCCCACAATCCCTTTCAAGGGCACATTTTTTTTATTGATTTGAGGACTGACACTAGGCCTTATATCTTAAAGGCCCCACCTCCTCCTAACGATGCTCCCCTGAGGACCTTTGATACATGAGCTTCAGAGAATATTTTAGATCCAAAGTATAGAAGTTAGTTTGACGCTTTTCTGCATATAAAATTGGGAAAACTACCTAAATTTTCTTATTTTCTAAATTACTGACAGCATTGATTTTATAATTAAAAAAAAAACCTCATTTTAAAAAGAATGTTTTGGGGCCAGCCAAATGGATAAATAGATACAGAAAAGCAATTGCTGTGCAAGACCTGAGTTCAATGCCAGGGAACCCACATGGTAGAGAGAACCGACTTCTGCATGTCATTCTATGACTACTACATGTATATAGCACAAATGCTCATACATACACATAAAAAATAAAGTGTTTTCAAAGTTGCCCTCTGACCTCCACACATGAGCTCAAGCATGCATGTGGCTGCCACACATACCCCAATATTTTAAGTGTTTGTAACTTTAATTTCTCACATTTAGATTGTGGGTAAGAACTAGTTTCAAGTTTCATGACTTTGAAAGTCCAGATTGAAAGATTCACTGTCCAGAAAGTATTTCAAGTAGCATAAAGTAGCCAAGTTGTGGCCTTTCTTGTATGTGTGTATATATATAAAATCTAGATAAGGGACTGGAGAGATGGCTTAGAGGTTAAGAGTACAAGCTGCTCTTCCAGAGGTCCCGAGTTCAATTCCCAGCAACTGGTGGCTCACAACTATCTGTAATGCAGGCATACATGTATACATAATAAATAAATCAAAAAAAAAGAAAACATGAAAAAAATAAACTCTAGATAATATGTGAGTCTTTTGAACACATATTCTACATGCCTTGGAAACAAGCAAGTCTGTTTTCCTATACGTTGCTAATATTCATGGAGTTTCATAGCTGTAGTTGTCCTTGCCACTCCCCATTTGTCAGTGAGAATGAAGGTAGTTCCCAAACAACATGGCCTAAATTTAATTTGCCTAAATCCAGTAACTACTACCAGGTTAGTCTCTTTTTTGCTTATGAGACAGGACCTCGCTACATAGCCCTGACTGTCCTTGAACTCTCAGAGGTCCACCTGCCTTCTGGGTGCTGGGATTAGAGGAATGTACTCTCATGCCATACATATACGGTTCGTTTATTTTCTCCCCCCCCCTTTTTTTTTTTTGAGACAGGGTTTCTCTGCATAACAGTCCTGGCTCTCCTGGAACTCACTTTGTATACCAAGCTGGCCTCAAAGTCACTGAGATCTGCCTGCCTCTGCTTTTCAGGCAGGGATTAAGGCATGTGCCGCCACCACCCCGCAAAGGTTCATTTCTTTACCGAGGGGTATGTTTTACATGTTATCCTTCCAAATATATTTACTAACCAGTCACTTTGCTGATAGTCATACATGTCCTAAGATTTCATTCATATTCTCCCTTAGTCAAGAATGAGCAATGAGCCTGGAGAGATGGCTCAGTGGCTAAGAGTATGTCCAACTTTGGCAGAGGATCTGAGAGCACTCATATGGAGCAGCTCACTGCCTGTAACACCTGTTCCAGGGATCCAGCGCCCTCTTCTGGACACCAAACTTCTGTACTCACATGTGCACATACTCTCACAAAGATACACCCTTGTATATACTAACACTAATATAGTAATGCATATACCAATACTTCCATGAAAAAATTTAATCCCTGGCTGGAGAGATGGCTCAGTGATTAAGAGCATTGCCTGCTCTTCCAAAGGTCCTGAGTTCAATTCCCAGCAACCACATGGTGGCTCACAACCATCTCTAATGAGGTTTGGTGCCCTCTTCTGGCCTGCAGACACACACAGACAGAATATTATATACATAATAGATAGATAGATAGATAGATAGATAGATAGATAGATAGATAGATAGATATTTAAAAAAATTTAATCCAAATCTTCCATTGTTCTCCCACACAGCATTCAGTACTTCAATAGCTCAAGCAGATGGGTATTGTTCTGTACCCAACTTAGCAGACTTTGCCATGTAG